ATGTTAAACTAAATAAATATTAAAAATTAGAACACATGTGAAAACTACTTCATCCAAGAAAAAAAAAATGATTCCCTCTTATCTAAAGATTCAAGTGAGAGAAATAAGAGAGAAAAATCCTCTATCAACAATTCATTACCCTAAAAAATTGAGTTTTTATTCTATTTAGTAATATAATATATGTTTTAAAAATATATTGTAATTAGGCTGAACCTTAATAACACATTTGTTATCTTATAAAATATTGCATTCCAATCTTACATAAAAGAAACAATGAGATAAGCAAACATTCTCCACAACGAAAATACGAAACTATAACAAATTCTAAAGAATCATACAAAATATGGGTCCAAACTAATGAACATCACAATTCAGTACATTTACAAACAAATATTTATCTTTTTTCTTCACAAAATATCAAATTCCGCGCGAAGCGCGGGCTTTCCCTAGTTATCTTTATGAAAAAAGGATTTCGCACATTTAAAACTTTGGTTTATTGTTGTTTGCATAATTAAATTCGGCTTTTATCTATAAATAACTTATTTAATTCAAGAAAAAAACCTGTGTTGAATAAATCGCAAAACAAAAAGTTAAGAAGAAAAATTATAGATATTGTAGATCTTCGAGAAAATATAAAGAAAATTATGAAATATGATAAGATGCTTTGGACCGCCTCGTCGTGCAGACTGGTCTTGGTGCTATCTCTTCTCAAAATGATACGTGTAAGAAGACTGTTGGTTTGCGTAGTAGCGGGTCAGGCTTTCTTAGATCAGCAGAGACGATTTCTAAAGTTCTTTTAATTAGTGTTTAATTATCCTAATAAATTTTTAATTCATTGCTAATCTCGAGTTCCCACCAAACGGATATCCCTTGATGCCTTAAATTACAGTATTATCCTCACAGTCATCAGTCTCTCTGCACAAGTGATGTATGCCACGTGTAATTGGCTTTACATTGTTAGCTTTTTGGGTGAGAAAATATATTAACTGCAGAAAAAGTGTAAATTGTGAAGCAGATTTGTCAATCGAATATAGATATGCTACCAATTTCTCAGCAAAAGAAAACCAAGTTTTATTGAGTATGAATCTTTTTTTTTTTTTAACAACCGAGTATGAATTATATTATAATTCAAGTTAAATACGAAGGAAAATACTTTCCCTTTTCATTATTTAAACTTTCTACATGTTTAAAAATGTATTAAACTTTAATTGTATATAACTTATCATATGTGATTAGTTATTTCTGATAAATTTAAATCAATGCAACTCAAAAAAATCATCACATTTTTAAAGTTTATAATTTTATTATTAACAAGTAAAATATATAGAAAACTCAAAAAAGTTGTTTTTGACTAATTCCCAAAAAAAAATTCAAAACAGAGAAATGTAACTGAATTTTTTTGTTGTTGAAAAAAACTATACAGCAATCTCTCAAACAAACACTTTTTTTATCTAAATTTCTCACAGCAAAGAAAAAAACCAAAAAAGTGCCAACATCACATATAACAAGCAAGTAAACCATACAATTAAGTATCATAAAAATGTGCTATTTCAACGAAATACAATATGCCATCGTTATCGTATGTCGGCATATTTTTCAAAACAAATGACACATTTAAAATTACAGTGAAACCTCTATAAATTAATAATGTTGGGATTACACCAAAACTATAATTTTTATTAATTTATAGAGATTATTAATTTATCGAGATACTAATTGAATCAAAAACTCAGTTTTGGATTATGAAATTATATTAATTTATAGAGATATTAATTTATAGATTATTAATTTAAAGAGATTATACTGTATAATGCAACAAAACTAGAAAAGAATGACACGTTATTGAGTTTTTTATACATCTTTGTTTTTTTTTTGGTAACTTTTTATATATCCCTTATATATTAAAAGAGAAGCATTTTGCATTAAATGTTTTCACACCACCTTCTCACAATTTATTACCTTATTTACTACCTTCTTACAATTTATTACCTTATTTATTACCTTCTCACAATTTATTACTTTATTTACTAGCTTCTCACAATATATTACCTTATTTACTTCAATTATAAAACACACGAGATACTTTAAAACTACAAAGTTCAATATCGCGTGAGACAAATTCGGAGGCAAGTGAATTGGCTTGAGGGTCGATGTCAAAGTTCTGAAACATCGTTATTTGGAAGGTGGGACGTATCTAAGATGATGGATATGAACGGCAGCGTACCGGAGCCCATGAACGCGATCTTGGTTTGGACATGGCTCGTGTGTAGCATGAAGAGATTGAACTCAACCTTGCTAAGTTTGAGGTAGTTAGTGTACTAAGGGTAGATCTAAATGGTGAAGTGTGTTGTCTTCGAGAGATCCCAAGGCCGTATAGTAGTGGTGCTCTGAAAACTCTATATCTTCACTACGTAGGTTGGTGAGATTGGTTCTGTAGTTTTGGACTTTTGGGCACAAGTTTTTAACGTCGATTTTTGTATCCATAAGAAAGGACATGGACATGAGCTATTGAACAAATTGTCGACATATATATGTGAAAAGTTAAAGGGATCTTGAGATTGGAAATTTCGTTATACAAGTCGAGAATTTGCTTTTCGAAATGAGTCTTTTTGCAACCCATCTCGAGACTAAAAGGAGATTTGGGATTGTCTCAATACTCTTAATGGTGTTGACAGTAATATACTTTCATCTTACGTGTTTCCATGTCGCGTGAATGACAAAAAAAACAGATATATGAGACAAAATCACAATTTAACCAAAAAGACCATATTTATAATATAGATATATAACTAGATGATATTAAAACCCGAAACCACCAATCCAAAACAAACTAATATGCAAATAAAACAGATATAATGTCTTTTTATCTTTAAAAATACAACAAATCTAATAATCTCATCCCGTGCAAGGCACGGGTCTAATCCTAGTCTTTGTATTATAATTCTTGACAAGGCTCATTAAATTTGGGGCCATTTTGGAATTTCATGTAATAGTGAAAGGATATATATAAGGCCTCCATGTCGTTATCTTCTGTATTCAAAACATTTAACCAACCGAAAATCAAAATACCTAAGCTAAAAGCAGACACGATCAGAAAATCAAGCCAAAACAGAAAAATATTATTACATACATTTATCTACTGCAGAGAAGTTATTATGGCGTTTGATGAAGATATGAAAATGGCGTCTTTCCTTAGACAAGAAGAAGAAGAAGAACATCACTGTTCTTTGTCAAGACTCTCCGTCTGTTGTAACTACGACGGTGATGAAGCCGACGGAGAACCGTCTGATTCCGACCAAAAACTTGTCGGCGGAGGAGAGAACTCGATGGAGCAGCTAGAGTCTTCAGATTCCGACAAAGGATCAACGGGTTGCCAGTCGCTTCCGGCAACTCCTCCGAGGCGGAGACAGCGGCGGGGAGGAGCGGTGAGTTCGCCGGTCTCCGGAGATAAAGCATACGCGAGCGAGAACGAAGTGCGAAAGGAGAAAAATGGGAGTAATAAAAATCAGAGGAGGAGGAGGAGACTGAGACCGGAGTATCCGCCGTGGGTGGACAGTATGCGGAGGAGCTACGTTGATGAACAGAGTAGTTTTGGCGGAGGAGTGGTGGTGGTGACGAGGCCTATAGGAGGAGGAAGGCCGTTGTGTATGGACTTAGGGGAAGTCAAAGCTTGTAAGGATTTAGGATTTGAGATTGAACCGGGTCAGGTTTCATATACCGGGTCAACGATGGATACTAGCAGTGGCGGCAACTCTCCTATCTCCTCTAACCACCGTATCTCCAGTCCCGGTTAGTCCACAAAAAAATCAAACTTTGTTTGTTTCTTCATATTTTAAAAACTTTAAATTTTCGAGTTCTAAAGAGATTTAGGTAAATTGAACAATAAAACATATGAAATTAACCAAAAAATTAGTCATGATATTCCGTATACTTTCTACAATATTTGTCATCATACTTTTTATAAGTAGAAATTTTATTTGTTATGTCAATATGTTATTTAACTAATGAAATAGTTATTTTCTTTCAGAAGTGTTTATATAAATTTCTTTTATTTTTAGTTTAAAGATATCATTTTTCGTTTACAAATTACATATATTTTTGCCAAACAAAAAAAAAATTAGACGGTACAACAAATTTAGCAATATGATTGTAATATGCAATAATGTAGTAATTCTTTTCATATCTCACGTTTAAAATGAAAGCCAAAATTCTGTGCACACTTTAGTTAGTTACTTTGGTCATTATTTTATGATGTTGTATTATTAATTTCCATTATCAATTGAATATTAGATCTATTAGCCTTTTAAATACTGATTAATTTGATTTTATTCAGGGGATGATCCAAAAGAAGTGAAAGCGAGGCTCAAGGCTTGGGCTCACGCTGTGGCTTTTGTGTCTACTACTCATCATCATCAATCCTCCTAATTTTCTATGATCCTCATACAATTTGTTTTTTCATCTTATTCACACCATCTTAAAAAAAAAACTTGCATGCATAAACTATGTGTGTTTAAAGCTCTGTTTTTCTGTCTGTGTGTTAGACGATGAGTTTTGGCAATTCATGTGGTCTCATAAGCCAAAAGGATAGAGTTGGATACAACTATAACTACTGAAGTTTGTGGATTGATTTCCCCCAGCATTATTGTAATATTTCAACATTTTAAATTTATGGGAATTATTTAGATTTCTAAAATAAAACAAAATGTGTAATTCTTCAAGAATCAGTTTTACTGCCGAAGCGGAGATATAAATAACCACTAACATACTTTGTGAATATATAAGAGGAGCTACGAAGAAACGGCGGATACTGGTTCTTGTGAACTTGAAGCAAGAGATCACGGCAATGAAAGGTTGCTCCAAGCTTGATACAAGCCAACAAAGCGCCGAACAGTTTACGGTGAAGGCTATATTCTTCATCGGGAGGTGGTGTGAGTCTATGTTTCAACATGGTTGCTCCTAACCACGGAAATCGTTTCTGGTAACTGCAAATTCTGCTTACGCTCAGTCAAAATAAAATCCGCACTGTTTTAGCATAAGCAGGGCCGGCCCTGCCCTAAAACTGGGAAAGCATCCACTTTAGACGCCAAAATAGATTAAATATTTGTGGGCATCATATTTACCAAAAGTCTCTTATAGCCTAGTGGTTGTCTATCGCCTAGATGAATTAAAGGTTCCCAGTCCCTAACCATAGGGGCGCCAAATTTTGTTTTACTTTAGTCAGTGATATATACTGGGCCAGGCCTCAGCATAAGATATATACTAAATTTGACGGCGCATGCAAATTTGTCTCTGGTTGTCTGATACGTGGGGATAAACCAATAAACTCATCTGCCAAGACATGTAACTTCGTACCAGTTAGCCATTTATTCATAGTAGTGGGCCACAAAAGACATATACCGCAGCCTTCTTAACCATCAGTCACTTATCAAGAGATCTATATAATTTTCATGTGTGATAATTTAAAATGGATGATCATCATCCTATTAAAAAAATAAATTATGAATTCTTTTATGTGTAATATTAAAAAAAAAACTATTTTCTAAGAGACTGTTTACAATATTTTTTGTATTTGTATAGTAAAATTCTAAAAGCATGATTAACTCCAACTTCTTAGTTGGCATTCTTAACTCATGATTTGACATCTTTTTTATTTGTTTTTTTTTTAAATATTTTCGGTTAAGAGACGGCTCTTATATCTCTGAAAAGTTCTTAGCTTTTCTTAATTTTTTTTCTTTTTTTTTGTCATCAAAATTATAGACTCAACTAAGACCATGTAAACCATATTGATAATTTTGACATGTGAACGACAAAGGACTGTTGCTTCCGAGCACTGCATGCTAGACTATCTGCCCTTGTGTTATTCATTCGGTGTACATGTATGACGGCGAAATTGTGAAAATTAACTATCCTTCAATAAACGGATATCATCCATGTATGCTGTAAATGTGGACCATTCCTCTGGTTGGGAAACCATCTTTACCATTTGAGAATAATCCGTCGCAAACGTCACATAGAACTGTCGTAAATTCCACATAAAATCTAAAGTAAAAAGCTAAAAACTCTCTCTTAATCGAAGCTAAAGATCTCAGTTAAGAGACTTTGGTTAATCATGGTCTAACAACACATCTAATTCTCTTTTTATTCCATCAAAATATTATTAGATTTGCATAATAATAGTACTGCTGTATTTTCATAATAATAACATTATATATTTCAAAAATATATTATTCCATCAATATATAATGATATTTTCATAGGAACATTTATAATATAATTAACAATAATAATATTTTATCATCCAAATAATAAATTCAAATAAAATATTAAACAGCCCTAACAATAAATTTTGCATAATAAATGTTATTAATATTTCTAGTTATATTATACATTATACATGTATCAGTATTTATAAAGATATTGTGTTAACAAACATGTAATGATAAATAAAATAGTATAGATTCAACCATATATTGGTTTTACAATAAATCATTTTAGTATATATATATATACTATAGTGTATATGAAAGAAATCTTTAGTAAAATTACACATGTTAACATAGAATGAAATATCATTAATTGTTTAGTGTAAGAGAATATTATTTAATTATTTAGTGTAAACGAATATAAACTAAATCTCTATATTAACACAGACTAAATCTTAGTAAAATTCCCAATGAAATTTGAATTAATTATGTTTTAGGTGTTACAAATGTTAAAGTTATTTGGCATATACAATAAATTGTAATTTATTAAAAATGAAAGCATAACATTTTTTGATATGAAACATATGCATTTTTGAAAATATATGTATTAGTTTACACAAGTATATTAAATTATGGGGTTGCCAGCGAATTCATGGATACAAATAGTTTTTATAATTTAATATAATGTGTTCTTTGTTAGATTTTTGACAAGTTATGATATATTTTTACTTTTTAAAATTTAATGTGAATTTTATTTTTATATATATTCTTAATAAATAAATTTATATTTTTTTATTTTTGTAATATTATACTTTTTTAAATAAACGATATGTTTTTGTAGTATTTTATTAGATTTTTTGTTAGTAACTATAGTAAAAATCTTTAATGTATGCTCCAAATCTCATTTCTGAATAACTACCGTATGCGTTTTTGATTTCTAAATTCCAGTCAATTAATATTACATTATATTTATATACCATATAATATTTTATATAAAACACGGTAGCACAAATAATATTTTTGAAAGATAATATGTACATGATAATAACAGCTGAAATCACAAAATAATTTCACTGGCTAGTATGGTTTAGATTAGTTCACCATGTGAATTATTTAATTTCGAACATTTACAATTTTGATAGAAATAACCAGAAAATTCCTGCTAGTAAATTGTTTAAAACATTATGAACAATTTTTAAGAATGATTTAGATAAATGAAAATAGTTAGACGCACAATACATCTATATATATATATATATATATATAATTGATACTTGGAGAATTTCACTTTTACCTTCTATTTGGTACCATTATTTATGTTTACCTTATCTAAATAGACATTTTCAAAAATATCAAACTATGAGATTTCATTAAGGAGACAATAGACAATTGTACCCTTGATTTATAAATATAAATAATTATTTAAATAGATAAAAAGTATTTTTTTTAAAAAAAAAAAATCGAATTATAACCTTTCAAATTCAAAAAAAATTATTTTTACTCATTTGAAATTTTGATTCGATTTTTTTAAAAAAAAAATAATTTCAGATAATCTTTTTTCAAATTCAAAAATACTTTTTGAAACTATTTTTCAATTTTTTTAATTTTTATTTCAAATATTTATTTATATTTTTATTAAAATTATAAACCTTGTACTCTAAAATCCCCTCAAATCTAAACAAAAAGGTTTAAAAATAGTTAACCCAAGAGTTATAAGTATATATTTATCTTTTTATTATTAAGGGTAAATCTGATTAATGTAAAGATGGAATAGGGTACTATGAAAGTGTTAGTATAGCCAATTTTCCTTGATACAGTTTGTAAGTCAAGTATAACTGATTATTAATATTTTTTGTATATTATTAATCTACAACAAAAACTATTAGCTAGTAATTTTATTTTATTTTTAGTTATCTATACAACATGCAAAAGAAGTTGTTTAAAAGTTTATTTAACTTATTATTTTAAATATGTGTAAAGCAATTTATCCATTTTTATAATCAATATATCTTTGTAAATGTTTGTTGATGAAAAATAACTAATTTTTTTTTGTATTTAAAATTAGTTTAACATATACTTTAAAATTAAATTATATGTACATACTTTTGTATATCCTTATCCATACAGTACACAACTAATGAAAATTACTTATTTATTTGTAATATCTATAAAACATAAAAGGATATTTTTAATTTTTTCTTAGACAACTCATTTAACACGTGAAATCATTTACCAATTTATAAAGTAAACACTTTATATATTTGTTAATGAAAAATCTTAAATATGTTTGTTATCTACAATTAATTTTATTTTTACTATAACTTATAATTCTTTTGTTTCAATAAGATACATATTTTAGAATTTTCCCACATATTAATAAAACATATTAAATTTTGATTATAATGTTTAGCCTCTAGAATTTCAACAAACACAATTAATTTTATTAAATTTTATACTTTAACATTATTACTCAATAAAAAGTGCATTGAAAAGGTAAAAATGTATATTTTTAAAATAAATATGTTTAAAAAACTTTTATAACATAAGGAGTTCATACAAGAAAATATATACTTAACGACGACCAAAATCATCATAACTCTGCTTTACATGATGACAATGTAACTGGCGGCTGTTTCTGAGAAGTCCAAGTAATCAATGATGAAACATAATAGAATGCATGTTCTGACATGCTTCTCCACTCATCGAATGTTGTGACTGCTGTCACTATAACCGATGACGCTTCTTGATCCATCTCTCTTGAAGAACAAACCGAAGTTTGTTGTTCCTCTTACATACCGTAGTATGCGCTTGATGGCTTGTCCATGAGAATTTTTTGGATTGTTCATGTTTCCACTTAGAACACCCACTGTATAAAGCAAGTCTGGTCTTGTGTGAGGTAGATACCTCAAACATCTTTTGAGATCTTTGAAGTCGACTCCATTGGTACGTGAGTCGTGTTACACGCTTTCATCTTTGTCACACATGATTCTTTGAGCATACATTTCTTGTTTTATTCGGATTATGTCTGCTCCTTGAATCCCTTCTATGCCAAGGTAATATGGTAGCTTCCCTAGATCTAACACCTTGAACTTCTTTGATATCTCTTCTTTGAATTGCTTAATCACATTAAGAGAAGTTCCCGTTACAAATAGATCATCAACGTAAATGGCTATTGGCAAGAAGTATCCTCCTTCATTCTTGTGATACAATGATGGCTCCTTTGTGCACTTCTTAAATCTCATCTCCTTTAGAACATGATCGATTTTCACATTCCAAACTTTAGGTGCTTGGTGTAACCCATATAAAGCCTTGTGTAACACATAAACTCGATCCTATGCTCCTTTCTTTTCGAAACATGTCACATACATTATCTCCTTTAGATCTCCATTCAAGAAAGTGGTCTTCACGTCCAGGTGATGAACCTCTCAACCATTTGTTGCTG